AGCCCCGCCCCTTAGCCCCCACCCCATTTCTCTTCTAATTTCCGGTTCCGCCCCAGCCGCCCGCGTCTACCTCCCGATCCACCGGCATCCTTCCCCGCGAGTCCGGGCCGGGTGAGTCCACACACGTCTCCCGGCGGCCGGGGCTTCCGCGCCTATGTGCGTGCGTACGTAAGTGCGTGTGTACGTACCTGCCTGGCTGCGTGCCTACGCGCTTGCGAACGGGCGTGTTTTCGTACCTCCGTGTGCGTTACGTGGGTTCGAGCCGGCGTAGGCCCCGCAAAGAAGGGGCGCCGGCGTCTGTGGCAGCCTGTGAGCTGAGGGAGCGCCGAGGCCTGTCACCGGTCAGCGGTCCCCGGTGCCGGGCCGCGGCGATGGCGGGAGATGCACGAGGCGGGCCGAGCGCTCTGTCCGCTCTCCGCGGCCCGCGCCGTCTCCCGGCCTGGGCGTGGGAGGCGGTCGTGCAGGCGCTGGTCGCCTCGCCGGGTCACGCGGAAGCGGACGGTCCCGCCTGGTGGCCGCAGCCGGGTCAGCCAGGGGCGCCCGCGACTCGGTGCCAGGAGACCCGCGCGCCACAGAGGGAGCCAGGAAGCCCCTGCTGCTGAGGCCCGCTGGGCCCTCCGCGGGCTGGGACCTGTGGGCTGGGGTTTTCCGGGCCTTGGGGGGGCGGATCTGGAAGCAGGCGCAGAGCTGCGCAGGCCACCCTTCCCTGTCCCCTCCTCCCGCCAGGGTCACACGCCCGCCATCCTTCTAAGTGCATGTGCGGGCAATGGACCTGTGCCCAGAGAAACAGGAGCATGCTGGTCCAGGAGCCCCAGCCCTCCCTCACTGCGTCCCTCCCCGCCTCCCCTTGGCCCCCTGGCTGTGGCCTACCTGAGGTCCCAGGCTGTGCGGTGTTGCACTGGTTACCCGTGGCACTCCTCCCAGTGGGGCCTACTCAGGATTTTATTGAGGGCAACGGGATCGTGGGGCCCCCAAGTCCTTCCCCTGTGACAATGTGAGGGAGTGGTGTCACCTTTCTCCTGTTGGATAAGGGGGCTGCTAGGCTGTGAGAGCACAGTCCCTTAAGGTGAGGATTTTGTCAGCTACTGGCTGGGGCATCATGTGATTAGCAGAACCCAACCTTGAGTGAGGTGTTTCCCATCCCATGGGCCCTCCTGAGTCCCAGTGGTCCCCCATCCCTGCCGAGTAGAAGACCTGTTCTGGCACATTAGCCAACATTGTCCTCTTGTACCGGATGACTTTTTCTTCTCCCCCCACCCACCCACCCCGGTCCTTGTGCGGGTGAAGAGGCCCAGACAAGTGGAATAGCGTTTCCTCCTCAGACCACAAAGCAGGTACTCTGCGTGGTGAGACAGGAGGGCAGCTTTACAGTTCCATCCCTCTAGGGGTTCCGCCCACACAGTTCAGTTCTCCTTGTGTCTTTGCGGCCCTGATGAGAAAAAGGTTGGCCAAGAAACTGAATGGCAGACATGAGGCAAACCTGCAGTCCAGTTATATACCCTCGAGAAGAAAGAGAAAGGGCCAGGCCGCAGGGGGATATCCAGCCTCCCTCGTGAATAATCCGGACCCAGCGAACAGGGCGACCCTTTGTCCCCCATCGGGCTGGCAGAGCTTAAGCAGAGTAAGGATGCTCAGGGCCGACAAAGGAGTGAGGAAGTGGAGCCCTTGTCCGTGGTTGGTGGAGCGTGCACAGGGGAGCCTTTGTGGAAGGCGATGTACTGGCCTGTATCAGCATCTCAGGTGTGCATGCCGTGACCCTCGCCGCCTTCTAAACGTGTCCTCTGCCAACGAGCATCTGTGGTGGTGTCCTCTGTGGTGGCAGGAAGTGCCAAGCAGTCTGTGAGTCTCCGTCAGTAAGGGACTACTCAGCAAACTGTGGGACGGCCAACCACGGGATGCCACACAGGCAGTGAAAAAGATGATAGATGGAGATGTACAGACAGAAGGAATGTGCCGGGTGTGCCCTTGATGGAGAAATCAGTGTGCACCCTGTGGAGACGTCCAGGACAGAGCTTGCACCTGCCTCGGAATTAGCTTGCCAGGGTGGTTGTATCAGACTACCACAGACTGGGTGGCTTCAACAACGGGAATGCATCGTCGCCCGTGTCTGGGGGCTGGAAGTCCGAGCGCAAGGCCTCGGCTGAATTTGCCTCTTCTGAGAGCTGGGAGAGAATGTGTTCCGTCCCTCCCCCCCCCCGCCCCCCACCTTCTGGTGGTTTCCTGGCCCTCTTTGGCATCCCATAGCTTGTAGATCTCTGCCTGCGTCTTCACATGCCTGTCTCTACACCCTTGTAAAGGGACACCAGTCCTACTGGGTGAGGGTCTGCCCAGCTGAGCTCATTTGAATTCACAAGGTCTGTAAAGACCGAAATTCCTTTACCTATGAGGTCGTGTTCTGAAGTGCTGGGGAGTGAGACTTCCAACACACGAATTTGATGGGGACATAATGCCACCCGTGACAACCTATGAAAGCCCTGAGGGAGGGATGAACTTGGCGTGTTCCGGGGATGGAAGGAAGGCCTTTGTGGCTGCAGGGTGGTGAGTAGAGGGGTGAAGGGAGCAGACAGCGGGGGGTGGGGGGGGGGCGGTTGGGGGCAGATCACGTGGGGCCTTTGGGCCCTGGCGAGAAGTGTGGATCTGTCCTGGACGGGACAGGAGGCCCCTAGAAGGTTGTGGCAGGGGAGTGACACGATGGATCACTCCTGTACCAGAACCACTCTGTCCTCGGTGCGGACCCTGGAGTGCTGCGCTCCAGCGGCGAGGCAGAGGGTGACCGGGAGAGTGCTCGAGAGGGCAGCGGGACCTTGGGAGCCTGAGGCTGTGATTGTGGCCCTGCAGACGATGGAGACCGGTCGGGCTCTGAGCGGGTTTGGGGACCGGCGCCCACGTGACGTGAGTGCCGGGTGCGGGAAAGCGAGCGCAGGCGGCTGCTAGGTCAGGGGGACTGGAACAACAACAGACTGGTGGTGAAACCACTCGCCGAGGTGGAACGGAAGCGGATTTGGGGTGGCGGTGGTTGGGAACCTGGGGCTGCTGGCTGTGGAAGGTTGAGACGAAGCGGGCATGGCCTGTGTGAACGGGGGCAGAGCAGGCGAGCGTGCGATGTGCAAGCCTGAGCAGAAGGGAACGAGAGGCGGTCAGCCGCGTCCGGGCTGTCCGGCCACGAGTCAGATGAGGACAGGACAGGCACGTGGCGGGTCGAGGGTGTGTTCGTGGAAGGTGGGGTGCGGTGCATGGCGAGGAAGTAGAGGCTGCGAGTATAGACGGCCATTCTGGGGGGACTTCTGCTATGCACAGGTTTGGAGAAGGCCGCCGCAGGAGCTGGAGGCCTGTGTGGGGGCTCCCCCCTCACCCCGGGGGGGGGGCGGGGGGAGGGGTCCTTGTCCCTGCCCTGAGGGAGACACAGGTGTGGCTCTCTGCAGAGGGGACCACCTACCTACTCCTGGGGGACGGGAGGGAGGCTGCCTGAGCAGGAGCAGGACAGAGCCAGGCGCCGGAGTGAGCCAGAGGGCTAGGCCCCAGAGCACAGCTGAGGGCGGCTCCCCCGGAGAGACAGAGGGAAGGCAGCGGGTCTGGACGTGGGGACAGGCAGGATGGTGGATTGGGAAGGGGGTGAACATGAGGCAGCCTTGCTGGTCACCGGGCCTTGTCTTTGAGAGTGGATGTGGTTTCTTCAACAGGAGAATGCCGTTGAGGCCAGGTTTATGTACTTCAGGACCTGGGAGCAGAGATGAACCGGAGAAGGTGGTACTCAGGGACTCAGGGTAGAGCCCCAGGCCCGATGATGATGATGATGGGCAGCCACTGTTTGTAACTGTCCTGTTAGGTGTCATGTACTGGGCTAGGCGCCCTTGGCACCTTGTCCCCGATCCTCGCAGCCACGCGGGAGACGGAGGCTCCGTCAGGTACCGGGACCCAGCTGAGGTTCAGGCCCGGGGGCCCCGCTCTTCCCACTGCACAGCTCTGTCCTCCCGTGAGGAGGGCGGACCCCCCCCCCAATCCAGGTGCAAGGGCAGGGGGTCCATGCACTCAGATCCCCTTGCAGTCATGGGCCATCTGTCTCTTCCTCGGCACCTCCTTCTCAGGTCCGGAGTGAGGTGACGGTAGCGCTGCTGTAGCGGGTGATTTGAGGATTGAATCCTCTGGTGTGTGGTTCGTGCCCCTCCCCTGTGCCTGGCATAGAGGCAGTGCGTGCGCCCCGGGACCAGTTGTTCCTGCTCTTGTATTTCCTTTCTCTAGGCTCGGGTCGGGGTTGGGGGTGTCTGTTGATAGTGGAGAGCAGTGGGGCAGGAAGGGGTCCGAGGAGGGTGGCACCCAAAGGGGCCGGGGCCATCTGAGATCGCTGGGGCGCCCCCAGCGCTGAGCCGAGGTTAGATACCAAGGATTTGTGCTCCGCCGCCCCGGGACAGGGGCCCGGGGATCTGCAGTGTCTCGGCGGTGGCAGGGCCAGGGACCCGAGTGGGTTGGCAGGAGAAGAAGCGAGGCCCAGGACTGGCCCTGTCTGTGCTGGGAGGGGGCTAGAGCCAGCTTGCCGAGTCGTGAAACCCAGGGGCCCGTCCCCCTCTGTCCTCTGCTGGGGCTCCGTGGCCTCTGTTGTAGCACCGACCACGTGCTGTCCCGGCCGTGCCTTTCTCTAGCCGTCTGCGCCATCGTCCGAGAGCTCGCCCAAGACTCCGTCTGATGGACACGTCGTCCTGATCCCCGGCCCCTTCCTTTGGGCCTGTCGGCTGACTGTGTCGTGATAGGAAGAAGGAGCCAGGGCTCTCGGCTCCCCCACCGCCCAGGTCAGTAGGCAACCCGGGGGACACTGGGGCGAGGCCTTGCCCGCGGGTCATGAGCTTGGAGCGCTGGGCGTGATGCTCATTGACGTTCGTGGTTCCGTGTCCCCGCAGGCCAGGGGAGGCCCCAGGAGCTGTAGGGAGATGCAGTTCGGCTGCCTCTCCTTCCGGCAGCCTTACGCAGGTTTCGTCTTAAACGGGGTCAAGACCATGGAGACGCGTTGGCGTCCTCTGCTGAGCGGCCACCGGAACTGCACCATCGCCGTCCACATCGCCCAGAGGGACTGGGAAGACGCCGCGTGGAGGAGGCTGCTGGTGGAGAGGCTGGGGATGGCCCCCGCTCAGATTCAGGCCTTGCTTCGGGAAGGGGAAAAGTACGGCCGTGGCGTGATAGCTGGCAAGTGATGATAGGCCAGATGCTGCTCAGACAACCTCCAGGGGCTAAGGCCGCGGGATCTAGCTCGGGAGTTTTGTGGCTTGTTTTCTTTCGAACTGCTTGGTGTGTGAGCCGAGCGACACACCGTTCAGAGGGGCAGCAGGGGGCCGTGGGCTGGGGGGGGGGGAGTTGCCGAGGTCCCACGACCTCCGGGGGACCCTGCGTCCGCTCTGGGCCTCGGTTCCCATTTTCGATCTGAGAGGCAGGGACAGCTTCCGAGTCTCCACGTGGCACTGGCCTGTGCGTGTGTATGTGTACACCCGTGTGTTTGCGCGCGAGTGTGTGTG